TTGTAGGGATGCGAGGTCAATGGTCTAACGACTACGGCATGCACGACTATGAGTACCCCTTCCCCCACCCCCCATGCTGCCCCCTCACGTCACGGGGTCTCAGTTCATGGCAGATAGAAGAAGTGTTTTTTTTTTCTTAATATCACACAACAAATCCATCCATCTCTATCTATAGAAATAAGTCTAAGATAAGATTAACAATGAATCCACGGTGTGAGCGAAAGGCTACCTGTATGTCTACGGTTTCCCAGACAACATACAACGATATCTCCCNAACAAATCCATCCATCTCTATCTATAGAAATAAGTCTAAGATAAGATTAACAATGAATCCACGGTGTGAGCGAAAGGCTACCTGTATGTCTACGGTTTCCCAGACAACATACAACGATATCTCCCCCCCTGTGGGTAGCAGGCTCAACAAGGCAGTTTGGTAGCCATCTTGTGTACCTATCTGTCTGTAGGTTATGTTGGGAAGTTTTAGACGGAAGATTTAGACTAGTGGAACTCGGTTTGTCTGGTGTTCTATTATGGGACCCTTGTGTGGTTGCGGAGCAAGCGCGTCTCGGGGTGTGTATATTTTCGTCATCAACTGACTTATTTTTTGGGCAACACGTGTGTGTTTTTTATTATTAGCATCGACCGCGCTAACCGGCTGACCAATGAAAAGACGTCAGTCTCAGTGCGGTTGAAAACAATAACAATGTGTGTCATGTATGGAGGCATGTGCGGCGCGGGAGAACATATTTACCTTGTTGTGTAACTGGCACCTTGTTGTGTAATTGGCGTGTCGTTAAATTTGNTGGTTGCGGAGCAAGCGCGTCTCGGGGTGTGTATATTTTCGTCATCAACTGACTTATTTTTTGGGCAACACGTGTGTGTTTTTTATTATTAGCATCGACCGCGCTAACCGGCTGACCAATGAAAAGACGTCAGTCTCAGTGCGGTTGAAAACAATAACAATGTGTGTCATGTATGGAGGCATGTGCGGCGCGGGAGAACATATTTACCTTGTTGTGTAACTGGCACCTTGTTGTGTAATTGGCGTGTCGTTAAATTTGATAAGGGCACGGGAGAACATTATCTCATCATTGCCTCCTGACGTGGCCGCCGATAGAGGCGCGTGGTTGGGGTTTCATCACTGACATGTGGGTGTTTGTTGAACGCAGTGTATTGTGTTTTCAACCGCACTAAGACTGACGTCTTTTCATTGGTCAACCGGTTAGCAGCGCGGTCGATCGATGCTGATAGTAAAAACACAGCAGTCTATGCGGTAGAGTTCAAACCCTGGGAGGACAACACCACATANGCCGCCGATAGAGGCGCGTGGTTGGGGTTTCATCACTGACATGTGGGTGTTTGTTGAACGCAGTGTATTGTGTTTTCAACCGCACTAAGACTGACGTCTTTTCATTGGTCAACCGGTTAGCAGCGCGGTCGATCGATGCTGATAGTAAAAACACAGCAGTCTATGCGGTAGAGTTCAAACCCTGGGAGGACAACACCACATATGCAGAAGGAGAACAACAGGACGCTGATCCGAGACCAGCTATCTATGAAAACCACGAGGGGCCGGGCCTACACGACCCGAGCGCCGTGGGTATAGTCATTCATGCGCCGTGTATAACCTGGCGGGTGTTCATTGATGTTGAGTGGTGCAACCGGCTCCCAAAACAACAGCAGCAGCAGCAGACCGATTATCACAAACAAACGAACACACAACACACCTTCCCAAGTCCAGAAATCGCACCTACCATAGAGAGAATCCGTCGAGGGTGCTACTGCTTCTGTACGCTATCAGGATGGTTCCCCGCGGGGTCGGTTCAGATTGCGTACTTGCGCCGCGCTACTGAGTGTCGTCGTAAAATCCGTGCCCTGCCTGCTGTTGCTGCTCGCATCAAAGTTATGACCATCATCATCGGCTTTGTTGTTTTGTCCCGAGATGTGGGATACACTATGTAGACTGCTTGCTTTCACTTGGCGCGAAAGTCGGAAGGATTGAGACCAATGTGGCGGGCAAGCGGTGAGCCTGACGCAATATTTGCCGTCTGTCTTTCCACAATCCTATACATGTCTACACGGCTGGTCGTGCTCCTCGCTCCTCGACGGTATGATGTTTTTTTTTTTCTCCCATCATTGGACTCTGTCGTCTGCCCCTCTTACCCCTATCCTCCACTTCTACTAGCTAGACGACCCAACCGGGATGCACTCGCCGCCAAGGTACATGCCGCATGCACATGCGTGCCTCGTCCAGATGCCCTGATGTGCGTCCGCACAGCGGGAAGACTTGCCACTTTGTTTCTTTGCCGGTGTGTGCATGCGCATCAACGGAAGAGAAACATCGCATGTAAAGTGCACAAATTTGAACGGGGCCGCACACACCACCATCGTCGCGCCCGTCGCACCCGTGCAGCCTGTCCCTCTGGTGCACGCGTAGCTGCACCACAAACGATTCATATTGCTGTGTGCTGGGATTCGTGCGCCATCAGGATCGCAGATAAGACTACTACAATTGTACGTAGGACGTCTTGCTACGGTTACACAGGTCGCTTCTTGGTGAATGTATGCATACGCGTGTGGTTCTGGAGGGTGACCATCACTACAAGTCATTCAGCAGAACCATCTTTTTTGCACGTCTGCTCATCCGTACGTTTAAGGTGGTGTGTTGGAGACAGGAGTTAAGATCTACCTTTCGCCGTGCCATCAACCATCAACCAGCACCGTTACGGAGGTGGGTGGTTTCTTCTTTTTTTCTATAACATTTTCGATCGCACGCCAAATACAACTCACGGGCCGGTTGCCAACGGAAGCGAGCGTGTGTGAACCAAGCCTTCCAGAGCAACCTCAACACAGAGAAAGGGCTTAAAAAGTGCACACGCAATTTGCAAGACATCGATGACTCTGCAAGAGGTTCCCAACCTAGTTAAATTCCCAGCACATGACTAAATCGAACAGAACAATGAAAGCACAGATTTAGGCAACAACTTTTTAGCAGCAGCCTGGATTCATTGGTGGGCTCACGCTTCGACTGTTGTACCACCTGCTGCACCCTTCCAGGGGGCCGTACAGTACACCTCGACAACCAATTGATTCGAACAATATATTTGTCGCGCGTGTACACAATTTACCTAACGTTGTAACGTTCGTCTTTCGAAGTGTTCGGAGCCTGAACGTCCTGCGCTGTCTGTCTGCACGAAGGCACTGGTACTGCTGTACCCGCCATCCCGCAGAGTAGAAAGTCTATGCATAGCCTCCTTAACAACGCCGTCTGACGTTCTCCTGACTCCACGCTACGAAAGCTGAGTGACAAGCAAGCAAGTCCCCTTTAACCTTTATCGGGCGGGGGCCGCAATTTTGAGGTTGGCCTTCCGGGTGTTTGTCGTCACGGATTGACTCCACGCTACGAAAGCTGAGTGACAAGCAAGCAAGTCCCCTTTAACCTTTATCGGGCGGGGGCCGCAATTTTGAGGTTGGCCTTCCGGGTGTTTGTCGTCACGGATTGACTCCACGCTACGAAAGCTGAGTGACAAGCAAGCAAGTCCCCTTTAACCTTTATCGGGCGGGGGCCGCAATTTTGAGGTTGGCCTTCCGGGTGTTTGTCGTCACGGATCATCTGTTACGCCTAAGGGTGTCCCACGCCCATACTCTTCCAGCCTTCCGAGTGCTTGAGCTCGAGGCTGAGGTCGTGGGAGTGCGGTCGGCCTTGAAGGGACGCCAACGCTTCCATGACCGGCTTCTTGTTGTGGAGAACCTGCGCCGACACGTGAGTAGAGACAGGCCAAAGATAACCACGGCGGGGCGGTGCCGCAAAAACCTTCGGCCGGGTTTGGAATTGTAGATTGTGCGGACATGATACAACACAAAAGGCCACGATCGTGCGATGGATGGGATGGGTGCCCCTTTGAACCGCTGGCAATTTTTTTTGGCAACGCCGCTGTCACAGAAATGTCTCTATTTTGGTGTTGCTTGGACCACCCGTCCGGTGTCGACTCCTTGAAAAAATTGAAAAAATCGTTTCTCGGGCCTCAGAACAGAAACTACCCCTCGTGTTGATGCATATGCTTCTACCAAAGTGGCAGTGCTGTTCAGGTAACCCTAACCCTATAAAACGACAACAACAACAACAACAACAATAATACTCGCCTCGAAGACTTCTTGGCAGATAGGCATCTCCACCCCCATCTTAGCGCTGAGTGCAACCACCGAACTCGCAGTCTTAACCCCCTCCGCTACCATCCGCATGCTGGTCGTGATGGTATCAAGGTCCTGCCAAACAAGAGAGGTGGAATATTGTATTTGCTCGGCATACGCATGGGAGAGAAGCTTGAGACCACAATGTGGAGTGCAACAAACCGAAACGACACTGTAGCCCCCGACAAAAGATGTTACAAGCCTCGAGAGATTGAGATGGCCTGGGGCACACCGACTAGCCACGCTTTCTTGGCACACGAACTTCTGTTCAAGTGCTAAAGACATATTGTTCGTTGGTCACCCTTTACTCTCCTCAAAGAACGTCCAACACGATGGCGCAGGTATCTGTTCCACTAGTGTGGTAGTGTGGTAGACCCATGCGTGACATGAATAAATCTCAGCCGAAAACGTCGGCCATCGATATACAGCCACCATTTGGGCTTTTGCGTAGATCGAAGCAGCGCACAGATTAGAGACCTACACCCGCACCTCTTGTGGAGGTAGATGGTCGAAAGGACCGACCACTCAGAGATGAGATCACACAAGACTGAGGATCACCATTTGCAAAGTACCACGTACCTCCCCCCTCGCCAGTCTGTTTCCCACGGTCCAGTTACGCGAGAGAGAGCCAGTGCAAGTGAGCACCAGGTCCCCCACACCACACAGGGACCCCATGCTCAGTGGCGAAGCCCCCTTCCTGAAGAAAAAAAAAAAAACACAGCAGTATCCACGATCCACATTCAGGTCACCATGTTCACGGTTGTACATTTTCTGTCTCTGCACCCAACCACTTTCTGCTAATATCTAGCGGTTGAAGACCATGCTCTAGTTGATTCACCAACACGAGACAACAGTTATCGAGATGCGTGCGTGCAACCTCACCTGCACCCTCCAGCGGCAGTGCCACCTCTGGCAAACGCCGTGCTCCATCCAGCCAAACAGGAGTCTACGGCTTCTCTACCTCGCAACACTAGTCAACACTCACAGGGATCGCCACTCGAACAAACACAAAACACAAACACAAACACAAGACCTTTAACAAGAGCCTTAAAAATAACTCTCACTTCACCGCCATGCGCGAGATCTCCGCTAGGCCCCTCGTGATCAGCGCCGCCCTCGCATTCAGCCCGAACTCGAACCCATCGCTCGCCCCGCACGCGATCGCCAGAACGTTCTTCACCGCCCCGAAGAGCTCGAGCCCCATCACGTCGTCCGAGGTGTAGGCGCGGAAGTTGAGGTCGCTCACCATCTCCTGGACCTTCCTCGCGCAGGCCATGTCCTTGGCTGCCACAGTGACAGAGGTGGGCTTCCCGAGCGCTACCTCTCTCGCGAAGGAGGGTCCGGATAGACAGGCCAGGTGCTTGTGGTACTGATGATGATGGGGTTCACAGATAGGAGGGTGAGGGTTGCCGTGAAGGGTTTGGGTTAGATTTGCCGGGAGATACTTGGGTCGTCGAGGGTGAGGACTATCGAAGATAACAGGGCCAACGGCCACAGATTGGAGTTCTAAAGGGAAACAAAGGTGTTGCTGGCTGTGGTACAATCAGGGAAGGAGTTAGGGTGATAAGCTTGGAGTTACGAAATGCAGGTCAGGCGCCATTTGGTCCTGCCAAGGTGTTTGATACTCAAGACATGAGGAGTCCGCACAACCCCAGCTTCAAGTATATTTTTCATCACGAGTTGTGCGGCAAGGCTTAGATTGTCCAAAGGAGGCCAAGCAATGGGCAAGTAAAACGCAAACAGGACAGGTGCACAAGAACAAGTCAAGAAAAGCAAATATTTTGGGGTTCCGTATACGATCAGCGTCCGAATTTAATTTGCACCGCGGGGGTTGGTATCAAAGCTAAACAAGGTCTCGATGAGGATGTTTGGTGGCCCTACAGCATACCTTTCCCGGCAGTTCCTCTTCCAGAATCTCGAAAGGCGTGAGCAGCGAGCCGTTCTCAATGCCCTTGCAGCAGACCACGATTGGGACCCCCGTTGGGATCTTGTCTCTATGCTTGACGATGAAATCTGCACACAGATGCGATCGGCAGCAGCATGAAGAGCAGCAACAGGGGCAGCATCAAGAGCAGTGTGTCGCGGACGGCAGAGACGGTAGCCAGCCGTTACAGCAGCAAAGCACAGGCAGAAAACATACGGGTCGAAGCGGCGGAACAGTACCCCAAGAATTCGGTCATGTCAACAGCGGTGCGTCAGCCCTGGGAATGTAGCAAGCCTCTGATACAGCCACATCGTTTGGCGTGCTGGTCGTTCCGTGAAACAAGTAGTCTCCTCTCCACTGCAACACAAGATGCTCAGTCAGCAGCGAGCCCCCCTCTCTGGGTATATCTCCGCATGCGCCTCGCTCTCCCTCCCTCCCTCATTCCTTCGCTACTTCCTGTGTTGCTTCGTCTTCCTCGCTACTGTTCTCAACTCAATATTCTACCACGTGCCTGGCTCTTACTCGCAGACTGGTAGCAAATAAAGTGCCGGCTAGGGTGAAAGCGACACCACCCAAGAGAAAGCACGGAAATATTTTTCATAGTATCGTACAAGTACCAAGTACGAGAGAAAAAGTGGCCATCCCGACCACAAGAAACAAAAGAGAATTATGCCGTTCGGTTTACGAGAAAACCGGGTTCAACTGCAGTGTTCTTGGCGTATCCCGACCCTCTCTTCGCCGCTACAGCAGTAGTACCCCTTGTAGAAGGATACATACCTCTGACGAAGGGCGTAGGCACGACGATGAAGACGATGCTGGAGCCTTCCGCGGCCTCCGACACCTCCGTAGTGGCCACGACAAGCTCGCTCAGCTTGATGCCCGGCAAGTACGGGGTATTCTCGTGGGTGCTGCTCAGCAGATCATGAGGCCAATAAAAGCATCATGACATGATGACATCATGACGTACGACATCATGACATCATGACATATGACACCCCCATTCAATCAGTGACGTACAGCAACCGGTCGCCCCGGTGGTCTAGTGGGTGGCTTCGCAGCCTGCTAAGGGTCAAGTCATGGGTTCGAGTCCCGGCAGAGAGAGTTTTTTTCTCACGAAATAAATCCTGGTCTAGGATGAAAGCGACGCGCTGCATAGCTCGTTTGTTAGTAAACCATAATCGACTTCGCAAGTCGCGAGGGAAGGGATTGCTGTACCCTTCTCGCGATAAAAATACCTCAGGCATGAACCGCAGGAGGGGGTCCAACCCCCCCTCCTATGTGACCCCGGTTGGGTCTAGCTAGTAGAAGTGGAGGATAGGGGCCAGAGGGGCAGACGACAGAGTCCAATGATGGGAGAAAAACAAACAACAAAAACAAGCAGTGTGTAGTGCTCAACAGACCCGATGTGAAGTCAACAGATCACCATCGCATCCACTTTTCATCAGATCCAGATAGTTGTACCCTTCTCGCGATAAAAATACCTCAGGCATGAACCGCAGGAGGGGGTCCAACCCCCCCTCCTATGTGACCCCGGTTGGGTCTAGCTAGTAGAAGTGGAGGATAGGGGCCAGAGGGGCAGACGACAGAGTCCAATGATGGGAGAAAAACAAACAACAAAAACAAGCAGTGTGTAGTGCTCAACAGACCCGATGTGAAGTCAACAGATCACCATCGCATCCACTTTTCATCAGATCCAGATAGTTGTACCCTTCTCGCGATAAAAATACCTCAGGCATGAACCGCAGGAGGGGGTCCAACCCCCCCTCCTATGTGACCCCGGTTGGGTCTAGCTAGTAGAAGTGGAGGATAGGGGCCAGAGGGGCAGACGACAGAGTCCAATGATGGGAGAAAAACAAACAACAAAAACAAGCAGTGTGTAGTGCTCAACAGACCCGATGTGAAGTCAACAGATCACCATCGCATCCACTTTTCATCAGATCCAGATAGATCAGTTTACGCTGCTCCACAGATCACCGCCACATCTAAATTCCACGAGACTCAGACAGTTCGCGTGAATGACCAAATGATGAGGCCAACAGAAAACCATCGTCTTGTGGGACACCGCCTCTCCTCATCTACAGTATGCCATGCGTTCAAACATTTCGACATTCCCACAGAAAAGCAGTACTGCTGTGCACGAAAACACCACACAGCGCTCACGATGACCTGAAGAGAGAATCAACAATATCAACAGCCGACAAACCCTGGCTACAGCAGTAGTTATCGCCCAAAAGAGACGTACTTCTACGTACTCCATAGACTCTAGGGTCTCCGTTCTGCACACTGCTGCAGGAACGTGTGCAGGCTTGCGTGGATGACGTGCTCCGATCGGGATCGATGCATCCAGTATCTTGCGGGGTGACCCGAGGGGCTATGTTGGGGTGTTCAACAATCATCCCCCCAACGGTGCAAATTCCGCACTGGCCAAAAGACCTCTGACTGCTGCATATTCAACAGGCATGCGCAGCCCCAATGCTTTTGAGTGCTCGCCACATATCGTGAAGGTAAGAATACACCAGCACCTATGATGCGCAGGCTCTCGGTATATTAGACTTTGATGCCAGGAGGTGTGCATACCGTTTATGACACAAGATAACACACCCCTTTGACCAATTTCGAAGCTCGATTTCTCAACTGCAGGAACAGTCACAGCGCCGAAAACGGTGGCGTTGAAACCGTCTTGTCGAGAGCTTTTCGAAAATGTATCGTTTCTTTTACTCATCCTCTTCGTCGTGGAGTAATCGAGCTTTGAAAATCGGTCCAGGGGGTGTGTTATCTTGTGTCATATACGGTAGTCGATGCATGTGTAGGAGCAGCGGTTGTTTTTCATGCACATGTGTTGCCACGTGCAACCAACCGCCATCTGGTCATGCTGCAAGCATAGAACACGTCCAGATAGTGGAGCGTATGTACCCTTTGCATCAAGTAACGACCGCTACTCCGCTAAAGGGCTGCTGCTGTTGTAGGAAGCGTTGTCGTGCAGGGAGTGAGGACAAATCCGACAGCAATTACTTAAACCTTGTGATGAGGTCTGTGACATCTTGAGATCGTGTCCACGCTGTTGTCGGCACCCCCTTTCTTGCCATTAACTGTGCCAGGGCTGTCCCGAACGCTCCCGATCCCAGCACACATGCCTTTTGTATCTCATCGCGGGGAGTCTCCATTTCAAGTGACGAGCCAGGCAGCAGAGTGGCACTGAGTGGACAACGGCAACAACTTGCGGCAAACAGCAAACAGCAAACAGCAAGAGCATCGGGGGCGCCGTGTATCATCTGAGAAGGAAGCAGTTCCAGTACAAGTTTGTTCCCCGGCGCCCTATTAATAGCGTAAACACACAGCCTGCAGTAGATTCGTTCGGCAGTTTATACACGCGTCCAACGTGAAACGTGGTTTGGTGTGCAGAAGCTAGTAGTGGTTGATCGAGTCTTATGTCCTTTCTGACCGGCAACCATTCAAGTTTAGTGCATGGCGTCGATGACAATTTAAAAGTTCTCTCCCGCCAGGGTATCTATTTCTGAAGGATTTGTAACCCCTCCCCATGCCCCGCCCCTCTCATGACCGCGACGCTACGACGCCCAGGTTCCGCTGTTGACACGTTCAGCTGTTCGGTGTCTCTTCATTTGGTGGTTTGGTGGCACTGCTGTTCTACTTGCGATGCTGTTGCGATAAGACGAGCAATCACAGCTGCGTCCTGTGACTCTCATTTTCTTATGGCGGGAAGACGATTGCTCGTCCTGTGGCTTTCATGTTTCATGGCGGGAGAAGACCGGGCGTATCAACTTTTTGTGGACTACGAAGTGCGCCCTTCAGCTGCTTGCGATTGACCAACTCTTACAAAAAAGAGATACGGCGTACATCGCGATGGTGATATTGTACGATTGATGCGATCACTCGCACATGAACGAAACGCTACCGTTAGACTCCACAAGGAAATTATCAACACGGTCCAACAGGGTTGCAACACGCGAGTGAGTGACCATACGACGCAACACAAGCCCTTTCGTTGCCAGACAACTCCCCCACGGGGCTAACACACCAGTCCACAAAGACCAACAGCAGTACCGCTTCCTTGACAAACAAACTGCAAGACACGTCTTGCAGCGAATACAGAACGTAATCGTTTCGTGTTGTACCAAGCTGATATATATACACTTGAACACCACACGCTCCCTCCCTCCCTCCCTCCCTCCCTCCCTCCCTCCCTCC